TCTGGTGTGTTGAAAACATAAAAGCAGTGTCACTGGTTGTATGTCTTAAAATTGGTACATTTTCCCTCTTCCTTTTTTTTTTTTTTTTTTTTTTTTTGTATTGGTAAGGCCACCTTTACAGCACTATAGAAGCTGAAGAGTCTGCAGCTTTAGCTTGCCCTGTAAGTTCAGATTGATAATGTACTAATTTAACATTAAGGTATTCATACAGTTGAAGTTTAGTTTGTTTATATATCCTTTTCCCCCCCTCTCTCTTAGATATGTATTATTACATTCAGGTGCCTTGAGCACTTTTAACTCTTTGCATTCAGTTATTCCACTGCTGTCCCCAGTTTCCTATCCTCGGTATTACTGTGACTGCCTACTGTGGGTTTTTCCCCCACCTTTTGCATTATCTCTTCAAGGCTTGAGAATTCTTTGCACGATTGTGATCTCATACAACATCAGAGCTATAGAGCCTGTATGTAAATGTAACTTCTTTTAATAATCCCCTTGAGATTTTACCAACTGGTTCAGATGACTAACCAGTCATGTAGATACAAGGGTGTTCTGGGTACTAGAAGTTTGTTTGTTCAAAGGTACCTTAACTGAAAAATAAAATGTAAAGGGCACCGTATTTGTAAGTATAAGCAAGAGGGTGAGGGGAGCACAGTTATGGTTGAGCTTTCAGCCTTAATTCTGGATTTCAAGAGCTCTGAATGCTTGATTTGTTAGCATTAATGTTGCACTAACTTAGGGTATTTTTGCATGAGAGTGTGTGTGTTTAACCAACTAAGCATGAAATCCCTTGCTTCTGTTTGTCCCTATTAAATAGTGGCAACAAAAGAAACAGACAGTAGATGGGTCCAGAACAAAGCAGAAATAATGGAGTATTTCACCCCAAAAAGGAGAGTGAAACGAAGTACAATGAGAGGGCAAAGACAGACTCAGTGGCCAGAGGCAGTGTAGTGCGTTGGAGAGAGCAGTAATTCAGGGACACTTGCTGCCTGGAGCTTCAATTTGGGATCTCTGAGTGGCACATATACCAGAAGTGTTTGGCCACCCCTGCTATAGACACAATATTTAATGCTTTTCCCGGAAGAAATCCCCGTAGGGCTTTAAAGGGACACTGTCTAGGGTTGTCAGCTCAAATACAGATCTAACTAAAACTGGAATCATCTGGGTGGGATAGAAATCTCTAAGCAGGAGTAGGACCGGTTAACTTCTTCCCTTAGCTCTGGTGTATGATAATACATGCACATGCAACATGCACACACATATACAAGTAAAATGAAAGCATCAGTGCTGCTGTGAATATTGCAGCTTTCTGCAGGATGCAGCACCTGGTTGCTTGGTTTCCTGGATTAATAGTATCCTTTTTTTCCAAAACCGGCTAAACGCAAGCACTTTTTTCAAGATACTGTGTTCCTGTACAGAACTTTAAAATCTGCTCATTCATTTAAAACAAAAATAATTAAATTCTGACTCTCCTGCCCTGCCTCCCTTGCCTGCTTCTTCTCATGATCCAATGGCTATAAAGAGTTTTGAGTGTGATGTTCTCAAAAATAATGAAAACTGATACTTTGTTTGACTTGTCTGTCTCTCTAAAGTGAAGTCTTACCCAGATACGATGGAAGGGTTCCAAAAAATGTTCCTTTTATTTTCTAGCAGTGGGGCTGAAAATGTAGACACCCAACATTTTGGTGACTATGCCAGCTAGTTCTGCTTGACCCTATAGCTGAGGTACTCAAATGTTTTCTTTCTCTCACCTCCTACACTCCCTCCGAGTGGCCTTACTTGGTTTCGGAGTTCGTTTTGTAATACCTAAATGACAGCCTTTTTTTGGACAGTCACTCATCGAGCAAATCAGGTTTGAAATCAATGAAAGAGACTTCCAGGTCCATATCTGGCAAGTGTTTCAAGACCAGTCAGACTTAATTCAAGTTTCTGTTACACCCTTTGGGTTGTTTAAACTGGTGTAGTGGAAACTACACCATTTTGGAAAGGATTAGAGCAGTAGTTGAGAATGGAACAACTCTCTCAATGTTTTTCATATGTTTGTGTTTTGAATTTCAGAAATGGCTTCTTTAGTCACTAATACACATTTCTTGCAGTTCTGTGCATTTCAGACCACACTGTCATGTGACAATATCTTAGATAATGGTATAGCTCTAGTACATGCTCTATAAAATATTTCAGGATGCATTTACTGTCTATAATCAAAAGCAGAATACAGGATGTAATTTTATTCACTTGGTCAATGACCTCTGAATTTTCTGCTCTCCACAGATCTTGTGCAGGTACTACATGCAGCTACCAAATTTGTGATAATAGAGGTTTAGTCTTTATAGTGGAAGCTTAAACAGCCCAGACTTTTTTAGTGGCCAAGTAACTTTACTGAGGGAACAGGAGGACAGCGATCAGAGTGTTTGTATAGTGACATTTCCAAAGGAAGAGATGTCATTGAACTTGAATTAAGAGGGTTGCAAAAAGGTTTCTGAAATTAAAAATATGTTGCTGCAAGTATCCCCTAAAATGTGCTTGTAGAACTCGTGTCAGCCAGTGGTTGAGTGCTATACATAGCAGCTTAAATTTCAGCAGCTTTTTGAAGCTAGAATATTAAAGTCTGTTTTCACTCTAATGAAACAAAAATATCTACTGAAGGAAATTAGCTTTGCAGAAGGACAAAGTCATGAATATAATAAAGATAGGGGAATCATAGAATAAAATACGAGAGTGTTCTGGAGGGAGTGATTTCTCTGTCTTCTGAGATCCTGTATCTGCTGTATCTCAGGGACTTTGATACCTTTCATAATTGTGTTTCCTGGAGAAGGATGAGTGAGGGAGTGGTGGGTGTGTGTACGCTGTTTTGGACATGACCTGGCTTTTTGATCATACGTTTAATCAACAGCAAGTAGAGGTTCTGCAGACTAAGTTAGGCTTAAGGAATCTGCACAAAACAGATACTGAACTTAACAAAACCAGCCTGTGGAGCCCCTCTGTCACCCACAGAGCCTCCATATGTGTTCTACAAAGAGATAGTTATCTTTGACAGAACTGCAGATTATTAAACAGAGTCAGGGCTGGAAGAGTTGTGTCTGGTTGCATAAGAACTGGCAAAGTGTCTGGCCAGAGAGAAGCACAGACTTTCATCAGCTCATCTGTTCCTTTATGTTTTTCAATAGGACATCAAGAAGTTGTCTCAAAGATGCAGTGGTGACAGGGACAAATTGAATGCTTTTTAAAGACTGGCTGCAAAGGGCCTGACACACAGCCTCGGGAGCTCTGGCAAGCTTCGAAGAATTTTGTGGCCTTCAGCATGATATCCACTAAGTGGAAACTCTGTTTGAAGGAGCTTATTTTGTGCAATGAACTCAATTGGCCTTTCCCACTTAAGTACCAGAGTAGAATATTTGCTGTGGCTTTGTAGAGCCTGTGAGATAAGTATAAACTGACGTCAGTGAATAAAGCTAGAAGGCATGTTTACTGTGTTACAGACAGACACAGAGGGCAGACCTTAAAAAAAAGAAAATTTAGTCAAAATTTAACAGAGGCAAAGCTTTTAACATCTGTTGTATTTGTTCAGCTTAACTACTACTGTAAATGTTTTTACTCCTAAAATATTTCCTCTCACATTTTTAAAAGTTATTGAAGGAATTTTGTAACTTTCCCTGTACTTGCTGTCTTTTGCTTCTTTAAAGCAATGAAGACTGTTCAGCAGTATGTATAATAACTTACCATCTCTATGGAAAGAACCCAATAAAAGCCCTGCTTTCAGTGAACTGTCTTTTTATAATCATGCTCTCTTTGGCTGACTTGCGCACAGAGCCAGACCTCACTGTTTGCAACAGCACCTTACTGACATCCATTCAGTTTCTCTCCTATAGTAGCCCTCAGTGAGAGATCCTGAGTAGTAATGTACACAAAGTAGGTTAAGGTTGTAAAGACTGGATTTCTTAGTGCGGTGATTGGCCTGGGGTTAAGATGGAAGAAAAGAGTTGGGAATATGTAAAGATCGAATGTGTGAGAAGAGTGATTGTGCAAACATGTTTTCCTTTCCTTGTTGTAGCAGATTGAATCCTTTGATATGAAGGTGGCAGATACTGGGGAAAAAGATATTTATATATATGGGGCTGATGCAGGTCTGTCTTGTACAGTAGCGGGTAATTATAGCCCTTAACTTAAATACATACTTCCTGGCTTTCCCTTTTTTACCTAAAAGGTTTCCACATCATGTATAAAGGTCTGATGAACCTTTAAGCCAAGGGCTTAAAGTACCTTTTGGATGAGATTGGTGTACTTTGGCAATACTGTTCAAGAGATGACAGCAGAACTCTAGAGCAGTCTTTGTCTAGGAGATTTTTTTATTCTTATATTGTGATTAATTTATAATCCTCCAGAGGAAGTGAGAGATCTTTATATCTTTTACTAGAGCTATGTCCAGCAAATTTTGTTTCTTTGCAAGCTTTACTCTTTAACAGATGATATCGCAAGGTAAAATATCTGACAAACCAAGCCGAGGAAGGACATTGGAGGAGTGCATCTCTGATTCCTTCCTGTGACAACAGGTAGAGCCTGGCGAGCAGCTGCTTAGGAGCTTCCCTGATGTTCACACCACATATTGCGTGAAATTAGCACAGGAAGCAAATTTATGCATACCCCACTGCAGAGTTGAATAGGGAGTGTGCCTCCCTGTATGCCTACTGTATGCCCTGTATGTCTGCTGTACATGCTGTCAGGAAACGGTCTGAGAAAAATGACATCCAGCTTTGTGAAATTTAGCTGAAAAGTTAACAGGTATATTTGTGTTTTCTTATAAAACTGTTCTAGATTTTCTGCCGTGGTCTCAGCCTCTTAACTGTAGGTTTTGTTAAAATAGAAAGTTTGAATAATTATTTGCTTCTCTCCAGTGCCTTTAAATTTATGAACTTGATTTTTAGAACTTTGTTGAATAAACATCTTCAAAAAAAGTAACATCTTCCTTTTGTTTTTGCTTTGTCTGTTTTTCCCTACCCTGGCAGTGTTTTCGAGCACTTTGCTGCAAGGGACCACCGCCACCACGACCTGAATATGACTTGGTTTGCATAGGCCTCACCGGTTCTGGCAAGACAAGTCTTCTGTCACAGCTTTGCGGTGAAAGCCCGGAGAATATAGTGTCTACCACAGGTAGGATGCCGCCTTTATTCCATGGTATGCTGCAACATTTCCCAGAGGTAACTTTTGAAATGTGTCGCAAAGGTGGTAGAGAATTTAGGTTTAGTAATCTTTCTTTTGAAAGCAGGTAATGGATTGCCTTGAAGCTTCCACTACTTACTTTTTCCTTCTTTGGTCATATACTGGGGACTGTCCATGAAAACATAAAATTTGGAATGTGTATAAAGTCAAAACTTATGTTGTGATGTAATGAAGTAGAACCATTGGAAACAAACAGTACCAATGTAGTGCAGACGCATTAAAAGGTTTCCTTCTTCTCTTTTTACTTTTGGGTTTTTTTTAAAGCAGTCTTTGTTACATGGACAGTAAAGAGAAGAATGTGCTATAACACAGAATGGGACAGTGTTGGTTTGAAACCTTACTGCAATCTATTTCTTCTCGTACTTGGTCAGGAGCACCTTGTGGTATATGCTAGCAACCGAAAGAATAAATGTAACCCTAATCCCACCCCCCCCCCCCAACCAAAACAGCACCAGAATCCCTCCCACCCACCCCCCCCCAAAATAAAAAAAAAGAAAAAAACAACAACAAAACCCAGAAACAAACATGTGGAGCAAGAAAAAGGAATACTTGGCTGCAAAGTTCAGAAAGAGGACAGATTAAATAACAGAGACAGAGGAAATCTGATTCTGTGGCCATAGCAGTTTACTAAGGTTGATTTGCGGAGGGAACAGATAGTGAGTGTTGTGCAAGTAACCTGTGTTTATACCTACATGGCTTTGCATTGTAGCTGTGGTTCACAGGCTTAAATCATATGGTTGTCCCTTAGCAACCCTCACTGATTTTCACTGTATCTTTGTTCACATTACAAGAACATAAAGTTATTTAATACAGCTGTAAGTAAACAAAGTAAAACAGGTGCAAGAAAATATGGGTTTTTTTCCTGCAGTGAGCCATTAACCCACTGCCTTCACAGGGGTGTTACTGCAGATGCTAAAGAGAACTCACACTTCATTGAATGGAGAAGTTAGCAGTACCTAACTTGAAAAGTTGGAAGAAAACTGTAGAATAATTCAGCCTTTTTATTTTTCTCTCCCCCCCCGAACTTTATTTTTAGAGTTCACCTTAAATAATTGCAAATTATACTTTAACACTTTAGATTCTGAAAGAAACAGTAACAGCAGTGTACACAGCAGTATAGATCCATCACAGGAAATACTGAAAATATTTTTATTTTCTAAAATTTGATTTTCCACATGTTTCTAGATAGTTGCCAAAAAATATCATTATTTAGTTAGACAGCTTGAGGAATGAAGGTAGACTCTGGTGAAAACTAGGCAGCATCCATACCAAAATAATGCATATCTAGGCTATTAGTAAATCTACCCATATGTGCCATATCTGTCCTATGTTAGAAAATATTGTTGAGAATCCGAGAGTACAGTGTGACAACTTCTCCACTGAGTTTTCAAACAATAACCTGTATTTTCCTTTTTCCCATCAACGCCACTCAGGTCCATTCCAGTTTTTCCTCCTTTCTAGGAAGAGTTTAGGGTTTGTTTGAAGACAACAACAACAAAAGTGCTTTATAATTATTCCCTTCAGATTTTCTTGCACATTCCTTTACACTGCATCTAGCACTGACCAAGTTTGGAGTACTCAAATATCTTATTGGTCTGATCTGGGTCAAAAATCATCTTATTTCTGTTAAATGATAGGTAATAAACTTGGAGTGAAAGACTTTTTTTCAAAACTCCTTTTTTCAGTTCACAGGTATGTAATAATGTTGAAACCACTTGTGCTAAATGGAAATAAATTCAATGTCTATCTGGATATTTTATGCTGAAAGTGTAGACATAGTTTTTACTGTATAAAGTGATATATACATTTATATGTATGCACTAAACATGCAGAATTTATACTGATGGATTGCTGGGAGCTTTTCACACTACCTTTCTGTTGGCTGTCTGAATTTTCAGTTAAGGGAAAACATCACCCTTCTGGAAGTTTTTAAGCATACAGCAGATTAATAGAGGATTCATAGATGCTTCTAGTGTGTTTGTAACCATTGCATATTACTTCATATTACTGGTAGTCTGAAATCTAAGCTGGTAGTTCAAGATACATGAAAAGATGGTTTTATAAAGGTATATTCCATACTAACTCCTGACCAAATGATAGGTGGCTTGGATGGAAGTTTTGTGCTGAATTTTATGTGTGCCAGCTATTTAATAGTTATCATTGCAAATTTTATTGCTTGCACTGATTTATTCCTTTTCCCCTTCCTTAAAACTAATACTTTTAAATAGCACAGTGAAACAGAATTTTACATGCAAAATCCTGGTTCTTGATGAAAAACATAGTCTTTTCTGAACGTATGCAGTTGATTGCAAATGGCCTCTTTAACAAATAACTTACTCTTGATTTCTGTTCTCAGGTTTTAGTATAAAAGCAGTGCCATTCCAGAATGCCATCTTGAATGTGAAAGAACTTGGAGGTATGTCATTTATATATTTATATAATAATTTGATTATAAAAAAATGCAGTGTCTAAATCTTACCATAGCAAACTGTTACTTGTTTTAAATATAAAAATTATAAATCCATGTAGACGGAATTTAAAACCTGTGTTTCTCCAGATAAAGTTGGGAATAAGTCAGTACATATGCTGACTACAAAGAACGAAAAGTAAAAAGCAGGAGGAACAGAAGGCAGTTAAGTGTGGCGTATCTCCTTAATGTGATTTCTTGTGCGGCAGTGGTTGAGTTATGCAGAAATACAAACTGGACTGTAATTGTGGTACAACTCAAGCAGCAGCTTAAGGAAGTGTGTTCCCAGTGTTTATTGTATGTATAAGCTTTTACTTATGAGCATTGGCTCAGGCAACTGCCAACATTTAGCAAGAACAATATATTTGCTGCACCACTGAAAATGTTGCAAAGGCAGCTAACATCTAATATTGTTTGATATTCTCTTGTTGAATTTGTGGCTTTTGGAGGCATGGTTGTTCTGTGATTGTGTTTCTTCTTAATTATCTGTATACAAGTAGGCTATTTAGCTGCCTAGTTCTGCCCCTGAGTCTTAAGTGATCAAGAGGTAACTGGTAAAAGGAAGAAAACACTCTTTTAATGAGAGTTCTTGTGGAGTCGAATTTCATCTAATGTTCCTCTAATTAAAAAAACCCCAACACTGAGATCTTTATATTCTAGAATTTCTGTAGATCTTCTTTATTACCTATGTAAATACAGTAGAATTAATCTTGCTTGTTAGATTTCCGGCAAGGTTGAAACCTCTCTTAAATACTCTGGGGTTTCAGAAGTTAACTCAGTTCCTGTAAGCTTCATGAGATCAAATAAAGTTTCATGAGATCAAATGAAGTTTCATCATAGTTGTCTTACCTGAAATTGTTTCAAGAATATGCTTTGAGATAAGCACATCTTATATTTCATTTTTACTACCATTGATCCGTGGATTTAAACGTACGTGTTCTTGTTTGGGCATATATCCTATAAACAAAGCAGAAGTTTTTTTATAAAGGGCATCAACAGGGATATTGTTGGCTGTGCTTGAGTGTATTATCTGCATTGTAGAATCACAGAATGGTTTGGTTTGGAAGGGACCTTAAAGATCAGCCAGTTCCAACCCCCTGCCATGGGCAGGAACACCTTCTGCTAGACCAGGTTGCTCAAAGCCCCCATTCATGTGGATTTAGGTCACCTTGGGATTTTTTTGTGGGTTTTTTTTGTTTGTTTGTTTGTTTGTTTTTCACAAGGTGAATCATTTGCAGCCCAATTTATACATTCTGCTTCCCAGTCTCTGTGAAATACGTAATTTGTATAGGTAAATGCAGGTTTTCCATGAAGAATTGAATCTGAGAGTTCTGCAGCAGATCCTCATTAAAGAGTCTTCCTTAAACTTTTCTGATCCTACAACTTTTATGCAGGTATGTGTGTTAGGAGAAACCTTATCTCAGTGGAGTGGTTTAATGTCTCATGACAGGATGTCCTGAAGTAATCCAGAATATTTGATTTTTCACCCATTTATCTCTTCCCAAAGATTGAAAGATTGTTAGAATTCCTTTACTTCACCTTTATATTTCTTTTCCCTTTAGTTATGGCTGTTTACATGTCTGTGCTTAGAAATGACATTGTCTGTTTTTTCTGTAAGATATTGGATAAAAATACTAGAATCATACAATGATTTTGGTTAGAAAAGACCTTAAGATCATCTAGTTCCAAGCCCCCTGCCATAGGCATGAGCCTCTCATGGATCATGTCACCCAAGGGTCTGTCCAACGTGATCTTGAACACTGCCAGCTTTTCATTGCCTAGGTAAGGGAGCTAAGGCAAGATTCCCAAAATTTATTATGAAGCTGGTGGTCAGCATTTAATCTTCTAGTTGGGAGATGTTTTCCTGTGTGATGAAGGTAAAGCCTGAGCTTTCTGCTCTCTTGCTCTCTTTATGTGAAAATAAAACATCCTGCATATTTAAGGACTGCTAAATCTTATTTTGGAATTTATGCTTCTAGTGTTGAATAGGAATCTACGTTTTTGTTCTTATTCCTGTTTTTTTGCCTTCAGTTTTTATGGTGGTGGTGTATAATTTCTCTTTACGTTACTGCGGAGGTCTTGTCACATTTGATCTTGGAAACTTGGAGGCAGGTAGAAAGGCAACTTTTTAACAACTGCTGTGCATTGTTGCATGTTATTCTAAGGGTGAAGTTTTATATAGTTTTTGATACCCTGTTTTAGAATTGTCTTGGGTTTAGGTAACTGAAAGCTTCAAATGTCTTCATACAACAACTTACTAACATCCAACATTTAAAACACAACAGAAATCATACTGTTGAAGGTTCTTGTATTTAGCAGCCAAGCAGTTACTTGAAAAAGATGCTGACTGTATGGTATCCTTTTCGTTTGGTTAAAGCTGTATCCTTCCTCGAGGTTGAATATGCTGATAGTTTTTACTGTGCTGGTTGCCTCTGGAGCTGCTAATGAAGCTGGGGTTTGTTTCTTAATTTCTGTAGGGATTCTAAATTTTCAGGCAAAGTGTATAGAAAACTCTCTTCTTTTGTCTCTTCCAGGTCTGTTTGTCTGATTATCTCTTCATCAGCCTTTAGGATTAGAGACATAGTGCAAAGTTTGCTATGTTCTTTTTGCAGTAATATTTCTTTAAAATATATGATACTAGGATTTATAAATATATACAAATAAAAATATATAAATCCTATTTCTGATTATTTTTTTTAATTGTATCTGTCTCCTAAACCAGGCTGAATTCCTACCAGGAAATGGAGGTTTTATCCAGTTTCATTAATGTTAAATGTTTTGTTTAAAAACATTTTGACCCTGAATAAGTAGAAAATAAGTAGCTTTCAAATTGAACATGGGCCTGCTTGAATTACTTGAAAAGAGGGTCTTGCTTTGTTTACTAACCAAATTGAACTGCCTTTTCTCTAAATTTCTACTTTCATATACCAGTCATGACTTCCTGCTCCCTGAGAAATAAAAAAAAGCCCAACCCAAATTAAAAACCCTAACACACTTTATTGTCAGAAATTTAGTCCATAAAATAATATGTGTAATTTAGATTACTATGAAGGTGTGCTATGTCCTTGCCCGCATTCTTTCAGAATGTACTCTTACCAGGATAACTGGAAATACCTCTATATTATGGAACTCAGCTGAGTAATGGTACAGAAAGAAATTACAAATTGGATGATTTCCTGTTCTGGTGCCACAATTTCTGGTGGGAATTAAGGTTGAAATTTTGTGCGATGAACAAACTTGAGGGTGTGGAAAGACTGCAGAAATAAAGCAGATGATAACATCTGTTGTTCAGAAGGTTCTGACAGTGTTTGGCTGAAAGAAATTTGGGATGCTGAATGCTGAGGTTTATATTTAAGACAGATAAAGAAGATGCAAAGGCAATAGAAAGCTTTTTCTTTGGTTCTGACAGATTCCAGCCTGGAGACACAGTGCCTGAAACCACCATTTATTGAGTGTGTTTATTAATTTGCTGTTACAATGCTGTCATAACAGAATGCAAAGTCATAGTGTATGTTGTGACGTAGATACATATTCAGACCTATATCAAGATTTTAGCTCCATAATCAAGATTTTAGCTCTGGAAGTCAAGTAATAATTACAGTTGCTTTTTATAGAATGTCTATTTCATAATATAGTTTGCTATCTTGTAAATACAGGCTTAGAAACTACTGAGAGATGCCAAGTACTGAGCTTGATCATACTTAAAAGAATTATTCTGGATGTGAACAGCTCTTTTTCTCCTTAGCAAGTTTAAAAATACTAAGAACATGTTACAGAGTTTAGTAACCTTCTCTGTTTTATGTACTAAAATATATTGTTGTATGTTTGTGTTACATCTTTGTAATCCACCAAAGGCCTTTTTCACAAGCATAGAGACTACATGTTGTGTAGTCATCTTTGAAACTACATTTAAGACAGTGTGTGTTAAGTGCTTAGCAAGTGCAGAGTGGTTAATATCAGGGATGCTCAAGTCTCCAGTCGCTTGGGCACACCAGAAAAAGAGGGATGAGAACTGTCCTCCCTTCTGCTTAAGCTTGATGACTGAAGTCATAAATTCACATTCTTAGGCCAGCTAAATAATTGTCTAGGTGAGAGCTTGGTAAAAAAAATAACATTAAATAGGATTGGTTAAACAAAGCATGTGTATTTTGCCTTAATTTGGAAGTAAAGAGCAGAAGAGAGACTAGTAGGGGGAGTCACACTTCTATGCAGTTCAAGTTGAGTGGGAAACATGAACCCCTGAAGAAGGTGACAGCAGTTATCAAGCAGAGCCTGAACTTGTGAAAAAGTGAGGGAGAAGGGAGAAAATTATATTGAGCTATTAAATAGAATTTAAAATTTGAATAGTTATGGGAGATCAATCTTCTCCTTTTCTCTGTGGAGGTAGAGGGGAGTACTGAACATCCTTCTAGCAACGTAGCCTCACAGAGCAGCTAAAATTTCATCTAGTTAGTCATCAGAAAACCGATACCACAAGTAAATGCCATCTTAAGTCATCTTCACAGTGATGAACTAACACAAAGCAATAAAATCTCAGTACTGTATTTAACTAAAAGGCAGTTGACACCTCTACAAAATCTGGTTGTGGAGTACATGCAATGCCATCTGCGACATAGCTGCGTCTAACAGTTTACAGAACGTCTTAGCAGATGAAATTTTTAGATGACCCTGATGAGCTGTCCAAGCTGTGAGTTGCACAGAGACATTCAGCTTCCGAAAGCATTAAAGTTAGGTCTGTTTGCTATCAATCATACTCAGCCTGCTGTTCAAATGGTGCCTAAGCCCAGGCTCTGTCACATCGTTTCCTCATTTCATAGAGAAGAGAGATCATTTGCACCTGCTTATGGATCTCATTAACATGACTCCTGAGGAAGTTTCAATAAGGATTTTCAGCGTAGTGATCTTTCTGCCATTCTTTGGAAATCCTGTCCTTCTGTAGAATTAGCTTT